ACACAGAAAAAGCACAAATTTTCTCTCAAGTGTCAAAAACATTAAAAAATAATATTTCTATCAAGAAAACTAGAAAAAAATCCACTGCCCATAAAATTAAAAACCTGTACTGAAGGTCAGTTCAATTAAGGGCCCCAGGTCTCTGCAGTGCACCCCCTACACACAGCCCATGCCCCGCCAGTCCTCTATAGTAGGCATGTGTTATCAGTTAAACAGTTGACCAATATAACTGGAACAGTTTCAACAGCTAATCTGGTAAACAATACTTGAATCCCTAGTTGCTGTAATCACAGAAAGCCTTATAATATTTGACCTAGCTTTGACCAGTCAAAAAATATGCGGTCAGTTGGCCGACTTGCCACCCCGGGAATGCTGAGGTCCAGTGCCAGGTTCTGTAGGTGAATGTACTTCAATGGACATTTTGTTGTCCATGTCCCCTCCAGCTTTTCTCTGTTCCTCATCTAGTAACTCCTGTCCCTGATGCTGTTTCACAGCTGCTGACCATATTTCTTCAACCCTGCAGCCTCAGCCCATTTCTTGTTCATGGCCCCAAGCCCTTATCTCCCCCTGTCAAATGTAAATGCATCTCTCCTGAGCATGTGCAAACTGGGTTTTTTCCCCCTTTCAGAGGGCTACAACTTAGCCACATTTGGGTGAATATTCACAGGGGCAACAAAAGGTGACTCTATGATACCTGCATGTCCATATATCCAAATCTCAAGTCCTCGTGACAAAGCATAGGAGCATTATTGCTCCACAATGGTAAACATCTTTAGGCAAACTGTATTTTTCCCTGATCTTAGTCTTGGAAGAAGTTAAATCATTTTGCTGAATTCCCTAGATGTATACAGCCTAAGGCAGACACCTGACTTGAAACATTTTAGCCCAGGCAATTTAAATTTGGCAAAATTAGAAACAACTGTCACTAAGGCTTTGTAATGTACTGTGTCAGCCAACATGAAGTGGTCCTAGCTGGGCTTCTGGTAATTAATAGTGCATTGTAAATTTCCCTGTGCCCTAGTCTGGTTGACATACAGCCTGCTATGTCCAGAGCTTAATATTCAGTGTTCAGGCTTGAAATAATAGTTGTGGCCCAAACCCTTTCTTTTGTGTGGGTTTTAGCTGCTCTTTATTATAAATACTGATGAAGTTGGTCTGTATTGCTACTTCCCCTCACCATACCTCACTGGTTCTCTCCCTTCCCTTAGGTCTTCTGGAAGATCCTGGATCAGATGCCTTGATTGAAGCTTTGAGTTCCTTGGAGTGTAGCTACTACATTGAGCCTCTGGCTGTGCCCTGCAGTATAACCTGGAGGAGAAGTATGCCTCACAGTTTATCCAGTACAGTGAGCATCAGAATCCACTCTGTCCTCACTTCTCTGAGGGCTTCCTCACCTGTCTTGTAAACTGACAACAGCTGGGGTGGGGGGAAGAGTTATGAATTGCTTTAAGTACTAGACCTGACATTTTCGGTGGTCATTCTCAGCTGGACCATGGAGTGACCTCAGAAGTACAGGTTATGCAACTGCTGTTGACTCAGGGAAAGGCATTAGAGCTGGAAGGGATCTTATAAGATTATTGGATTCAGCCCCTGCCCAAGGGGCAGGAAGTCAGCTAGGGTCAAAGGATCCCTGCAAGATTCAACCTGGATCTTGAAGCTCTAAACAGGATCAAAGCCAGTCTGAGTCTCAGATAATGGCAGAGGTTTCAAATTACTAGCTGGAAAAAAAATTCTAAAGCAAATGCTGGGTCTGGGAAGCATGTTGTGAGAGCCACAAACTTCACTGCTAGAGTGGCAGACCAGGCCTGCTGCAGGCTCCCTTGTTGCTGAAAAAAATCTGATCTGCTTGGAAAGACCAATGGCTGTTTCTGAACATAACTTATTGGAAATCCTAGGGAAAGTGCTTACCTTTCCTTTTGCATCTAATCCAAAATGCCATCAAAACTAGAAATAAGAAACCTGTGAAGAAATTAACATGAGACGACAGTGGCATAAGTAGGTTATTTTTCCCTCCTCCCTACTCTAGGGCCTTCAGGTTTGTGGGAGTGAGGTCAGGCCTTCATTATGGTCATTTCTGTGAAATGAAGCCTTGCTGTCCAAGTTACCTTTTAACCATTTTGGAGTTGTGGGAGAGCCCATGAAACGGAAACACTTGATGGTTGTATGACTTAACAAGGCTGTGGACATCAGTGATGCTATATGGCAGGGGTGGGCAATTATTTTGGGCAGAGGGCCGCTTACTGAGTTTTGGAAAGCCATTGAGGGCTGCGTAACAGGCAATCGGGTAGATAAATATTAATTTTCTAATTTTTTCAGGGGCCCCGCAGGCCAGATAGAATGGCCTGGCAGGCTGCATCCGGCCTGTGGGCTGCATTTTTCCCCACCCCTGCTATATGAGCTTCCTGTTTGCTATCCCATGGGGATCTGGGCCATCTTCTCCATGGGTAATTGGCTGTTGTTTGCAATGAGCTGTGTTATGTAATCCTGTAATGCAGATACAGAAAAAAACAGCCTGAATGTTTTATACCTGGGTTGGTGGGTTTTTCATTGTCTGATTGTATCCATTGCCAACCTCATTTCTACAACCTCACTGCTCCCTGTTTTTGTGCAGTTGTCTTATAATTAAGCCATGCAGCTTTAGTAAGCTAACTTCAGCCCACTGCACTGCAAAAATTAATCCTGTCTATTGTAGATGGTCTTTCAAGGCTGGGACCCTTGGGCACATTTCAGAGCTGGAGAGGTGGGCACATTTCAGGGCTGGAGAGGTGGTAGATCATTTCATTTTGGGCACATTTCAGGGCTGAAGAGGTGGGAGATCATTGCCTAGATCCCACTAGAAGTTGTTTTTATTCCCCTAGGATGGTCCCACAATGAACTCTGAAGAGGAAAAAGAGGTGCTGGTGCTGGTAGATCCGAGGGACTTTCTCAAGCGTCTCTTTTCTGTACTTCAGGTAGTGTAAGCTGTTAAACAGGGTCTACACTTCCTTTTGAACAGGGGGGACTAGCCCAAACCTGCTAGTAAATTACTGAGGTTTCAGGTAGATGAGTATTTCAGAATGCACACAAAAAAGAGGAGGCCTGTCAGGTCTGAGTGAGCTTAGCATGCCCCCTGGCCAGGGGCAGAGATCCTGCCTCATGATTTAAATTTGGGACAGAACATTTTATTATCTAAGAGGTCATAAGACAGTCCAGACCTGTCTCCTGTGCTTTGTGTTTACATCTGGAGGATGCCTTTAATATTTTCATTAAGGAAATGTTTAAAGCACATACAGCTTGGGAGAAACACAGTTTTGAAATTAACACATTTACAGTTAATTAGAACTTGATGCAGACCCACATGGCATTTGATTTAAATATACCTAGGAAGACAAGGCTCCTGCCCTGAGGAGGTGACAGTTCCATTCAGACAGATGCAGTAGAAAATGAAAGGCTAGACTGGAGCAGTCAGCATCCAAAGGGAGATCACTGATGGATCAGTAAGTGAAAAGGTGAGCCAGGAGGAGTAGCTGGAATTAGGCTGGGTATAGCATGTGGCAGGCAAAAAGGACACAAGAGCCTTGCAGTCCTGCAGCCAAAAATAGATCATAGCTGCGAAATGAAGGACAATGTGCCACAGTTCCAACCTTCTTCCACTGACTAGATTCACCTGGCAGAACTCTCACAGAGGAGGAAAAGCTGATCTGACAGGTCTACAGCTGATTCGGTTTGTTTTGTTTCAGAGTCTAAGCGGTGCTCCATCAGACAGCAGGCCTGATCTCAGCAAGGTGTTGCCTTTGGATCGTCTGGAGGCCCCCTCCACAAAAACTTGCAGCCTGGCTGTCATTGGACTGGATGCCTACAGATGGTACGTTCTAAGTGCGTGTGTTGGGAGCACAACTGGGAAGTTAGAGTAGTGAGTGCAGAGAAAGGGGGCATTGAGGGCTGAACTTCCAAGGCTTGGTGTGTAGGTTGTGGCTGTAATGCATTCCATGCCAACCTATTGTGCAGCACCCCAGGCAGCTCTGTGTGCAAGAAGGGTGGCTGTGCGAGCAAGAGCATGTTTCCAGGTGAACTCGTGGATGGGGAGTGGTGTAATGGGTTGCAGGCAGGACAGTATTTTCCAGCTGCAACTCGCACAACACAGTTTGAAAATGTTGAGGTAAAATGGTGTGTTTTTATCCTTGTGAACAATGCACAACCCAAAGAGGATGGTCACGTTGGAATGGCAGAGCTGGAGGACACAAGCAGTGGAGTTGTACTCAATGCTGCAGGCTGGCAGTCCTTCCTACTCACTGCTTTATCAGGAGCTCAGAGCAGCTTGCTAACCTGGGGATGGATCTCCAGTGACTCATAGGGTTGGAAGGGACCTCCAGGAGGTCATCTAGTCCAAACCCCTGCTCAAAGCAGCACCATCCCCAACCAGATTATTCCAGACAAAGCTTTGTCTAGCTGGGTCTTAAAAACCTCCAAGGATGGAGAGTCCACAACCTCTCTGGGTAACCTGTTCCAGTGTTTTACTACCCTCCTTGTGAAAAAAAAATCTTAATATTTAACCTAAACTTCCCTTGCTGCAACTTGACAGCATTGTTCTTTGTTCTGTCATCTGCCACCACTGAAAACAGTCTAGCTTCATCCTCTTTGGAACCACCCTTCAGGTAGAGTTAAAGGCTGCTATTAAATCCCCCCCCTCGGTCTTTTCTTCTTCAGACTAAATAAGCCCAGTTCCCTCAGCCTCTCATAAGTCATGTTCCCTAGCCCCCTCACCATTTTGTTGCCCTCCCCATGTCCACACAGCCAGTCATCTCATCACAGAAGACAATCAGGTTGGTCAGGCATGACTTGCCCTTGGTGAATCCGTGCTGACTGTTCCTAATCAACTTCTCCTCCAGTGCTTAGAAATGGATTTCTCGAGGACCTGCTTCATGATTTTTCCAGGGACTCAGGTGAGGCTGACTGGTCTGTAGTTCCCTGGTTCCTCCTCCTTCCCTTTCTTAAAGATGGGCACTATATATTTGCCTTTTTTCAATCATCTAGGACCTCTCCCAATCACCACGTGTTTTCAAAGATGATGGCCAGCAGCTTGGCAGTCACATCAGCCAACTCCCTTGGCACCCTCGGGTGCATCACATCCAGCCCCATGGACTTGTACACATCCAGCTTTTCTAAATAGTCCCTAACCTGTTCTTTTGCCACTGTTGGCTGCTCACCTTCTCCCCAGGTGATAGGCGCAATAGTCTGGGAGCTGACCTTGCCTGTGAAGACAGGTGAAAAAGGCATTGACTACAGGCAGTCCTTGGACTTGCAACACAATTGGTTCCTGAAAACCGCGTCTCAAGTCAAAACATTGTAGCTCAGAACTGATTTTCCCATAGGAAACAATGTTATAAATGGGGAATTGGTTCCTGAACCAAGGCCTGATACCCTACTTTCACGAAAAATAGCCCAGAATTTTGTACAGTAAAGTACTCAATTATAGACGAGTAATAGAGCTACATTTCATAGTTTCTAGGGTCGGAAGGGACCTGAGCAGATCATCAAGTCCGACCC